ATTGAGGAATATTTGGGAGGGGGATCCTGTAAATGAAACGGTACTCCACAATGTCCATTTTCCACCCCTTTGCGCTAAGCAGTCTACAGACACTCTTCACGTAAGTGTCATTTAGTCCCCATGGCTGTTTATACTGTTTCCGAACACAGAAGCAAGAAACAAGTGCTCCTCTTTCTTTCCTACAGATGATTGAAGATGTTCTAGCTGAGGGTCCGGTCATGGCCAGTCGTTTCAGCCGCTGGTTCTCCAGTAACAGGAGTCCCTCTGGCAGCCGCTCCAGCAGTCTACGTTCCACACCGCACGAGGAGTTGGAGAGACTAGCAGGTAACTCTTTCCTAATCCGTTCTCTTCACCTGGTGTAAGGTTGCTCACCAATAACCATTTTATTTATTTTTGTGGTGGGGCCAGTGAAAATTGAATCAAACCGAATTGAGATCTTGACTCAAATCAGGAGACCTGAATCGATACTGTAATATGAGACACAACCATGGTCCAAAGTTTAGATTTTGCCCCACTTGCGAATGGTAGATTGATTTACCATAAATACCTATCTTCTGCTGTGAAACTGTATTTTGCATAAATATTAAGAGAGGGTCCCTATGACACCATTAGTGTCTTATACTCACCAAGATTGCATTTATTTGAAAACCTAGTATTCTGACATTAGATCATTCTGCCATGCATGCTCCATTAAAAAAAAATTATTATTATTATTTTTTTTTTTTCAGTCTTGGAAAAAAAATGGGTGACTCCCATTCGTATTTGTGAGCATTTTGTGAAGAGCGTCAAATGTTAATGTTTTTACATTTAAGGCGGGCATACTCTATGCGAGTTCGGACAATCAGGAGGTCATGTGCCATTGCAAACGTTGCAAATCAGCAAACATGATAATTGTGTAAAAGCAGCTAGTATATGGGAAACCAGCAGCAGTCACATGAGCTTTCACATTAAAAAATGAAACTGGAGCTCTAAATGTTGCTGCTATAGCTTTAGATAAAAAGACGAATGTGTGCAGTTTTGCACGCTGTCATGCCAAACCATACATGACTAAGTTAACCTGCTTGTTTTTGTTATAACAGTGTGGTTTGTGTTAATAATTAATAACTAATTATTTTATCTGGAGCATTTATGCTGATGTGTATGGTGGCAACATGTAGGCTAACTTAAGTATTTGGAGGAAAAGAAAAGTCTTTTTTTCAGGTGGGACTGGGACAAAACAATTTCAGAGAAAGTAAAAGAAATTAGTTGAGACAATCAGTTATAATAATGACCCACATATTAAAAAATGGTCAGGTACACAACGTGCTCGGGTAGGGTCGGGCTTGCAGAACCGATATGCTAACTCTAATGTATGAATATTTGCAATATAAAATGTTAAACATTGGTAATTTCTTATAAATATTGTTTTTTCAGGTCTCGATCCTCATGCTGGACCTCTGAATCAGGGTACGTCTTTGTACTTCACCCCTATTTCTTCAGTGGAACGGGAGAAGGTGGACATACTGGAACTGCTGCAAAAAGCCAATGTTGACTTAAAACCTTTACTGTCCAGCCTAAATGTCAACAAGGCTCACTTAAAGGAGAGCAGTGAGTAGCATCCTGTATAATTAACTATTGTTGCTAGAAAATTGTATACGGTATTTAACACAGTGGTTTAATACAGAGTCTGGTTTGCTGCCCATTATCACAAAATATAATTTCCCCTCATAACAAACGATTCTTAATACATCTGTCTTCCCTCTTATAGCAAACTCAGGGGTGGTGTTGTCTCTAGAGGAGGTAGAGGTGGGTCTAAAGGGTCTAAAGGTGCAGGCTGAACCGGCTTCATTACCTCAAAGGCAGTCCAACAGAGGTGGGGGTACTCCCTTCATGGCGGAGCACCTTGAAGAGGCTTTCACGGGAGGGACCGGGGCTGCGCCACGACCGCGAGACCCTGACATGTCTGCATTTAATAAGTTAGTGAGCACCATGAAGGCAAGTGGAACCCTTCCCACTCACCCCAAAGCCAGCGGGAGCTATGTAAGTATGCAGCCGTTGGTAATGTTTGCATGGTTTTGTAAGTGATTGCTGTATGCGAGACTGAAACGCATGCATTGGTCGCACAGCTTGTTCCCGCTTTTAATGGGCTTTTTAATGCAACTCATGCCAGTACTTTTTACTTGCTAGTTGGTCTGGGGCTGTAAATGAGTCTGTTTAGTCTGACTAGTGATGGGCATAAATTTGTGTTTGGCAGTTGTGGCTGACTAGTCAGTGAACTCTTGCATGCATGACTTGGCGTATCCCTCTCTGACCATGAATCTTTTTTCATGTTGTTGCATGTTGTTTTTAACACTTTGTTCTCAAGCCGTCCCTGGTATGATATAGACAACATCAGTTTGTGTGACGCTAGCTAACAAAACATGTACCAAATGGCATGCATGCTATCTGATCCATTATTGTCTGGTTCAGACTGCAACTGTTAACTTTCTGTTATCACTTGTTCCCTGCTTTTATTTTCAGCAGTCAGTGGATCCTGCTCTTGTGTCCTTATCAGAGGCACAGGTACCTGCCTCTCAGCAGAAAAACGTCTTTCAGGTGATCAAAGCCTTACTCTTTGTTGGAGAAATTCTGTTTTAATACAAATAATTTATACTTATCAAGTCACTGGGCTTACTGATGCCATGACATGACTATCTGTAAAATACTGTAACAAATGAAGTAAGCTATTGTCAGTAATGCATAACCAGAACTTAATGCACACAAAGGGGCCAGTCAGTTTGATTGCTTTAATCCTGGAGTGAGGCAAAATTGTCAATGTCTGCTTTTACTAACAGTGGAGCTGAAGCAGGTTACTTTGCTTAAGCAATAAGAACCGCAATATATACATTTTTATTAAAACACTGTCCTAGTAAAGTTATGAGTGTTGACAAATAATGCAAGATATTGTGCTTTAGGAATTGTTGGTTGCTCCTCATGGGCCTGTTCCCACCTCTGTGTCTGGCCTCGTACACCATCGCGCTTCTCCACCACTCTTCCCACAGAGAGCCCCTATGCAGGACTTTTTCCCAGGCATGCCACCGGCAACAGGTGAGACGAGTTAAATATTGTTGAATTTAATCCAACAAAGGGATGTTGAATGTGAAACATGGCATAACATTTAAATGATAAATGCCCTGCCACTTATTTATTTTTGGTTGAATCTAAGGATTTCCTACTGGTCAACAAACTATGTTAGATCAAATTCCAGACTTGCATCGGGCCAGAAATACACCACAGGTAAAGTTAAAATTCTATGTGGATATATTTTAAAATGTTTGTTTGCTTTTAATAATTAAAGAATGCATGTTAACTCAAGAAGTCTTAAGTAGGTCATTAAGTTAAGTTTTTTTTTAATGATTTTATTTTTAAATTTAGTAGGTCATTCATTACACAGACATTCATATCTGAATATTAAAATGCATAAATCACTCTTCATGGCATTGTTAAATGTATATTTATTGATTTTTCTGAAACTAAATTTTTGGGTTTTCTGGAATGATTACTCTGAGAGTAAAGGCTGTTAACATAGGATGACCATAACATGTCATAGGATGCCCTTGGTTTTGCATGATTTGTTAATCAGATGAATTCCTTATTTTTAGATGAGAGGTTTGCCAATGGGAGTGGACCAGGCCAATCTGGAAGCTTTGTTTCAGCAGGATCTGGCAATTCTTAATCGCTCTCAGTACCAACAAGCCTACAATAAACAGGCTCAAGATAAGTTTCGCAACAGGTAATTTCGATTATCCGAGACCATAGCAGGTCACAGGCTGGTTGCGCCAAAGCAAGCCCTTCTAATGCTTTCAAACTCTAGAATTACTGAGATGGCTTTTAGTACTTTGTTTTATCTTGTATCAGACGGTCCTGATTTTGTAGTTCAAAAAAAAGATTACATACCCAGAAATGAATCCTGTTTTTATGCATTTATTTAAGGACACCTATTATGGCATTTAAAATTTTCATATTTTATTATTGAGTCCCCAACAACAGTTTTACATGCAAGGAATGACAAAGCACTTGTTTTATAAAATGCATTTGTTATTTCCTGATTTGCTCACCGACTCCCAAATGATTCGTTCAACGACTAATTTTTTCAAACTCCTCCCTTGCATGACGCTAATCTACGTGATTGATCAGATGACCCAATCAGTTATTGTTTGCGTTAGCCCAATGCATAAACGTATCAACAAAGCACTGCTGTACTACAATGTATTGCTCTATTCTTTGACTCCAATAACAAGATTTCATATATTTAGAAGAAAATTAACATTGGAGACCTGAGTGTAACTTGCACAACACACAAAATACTTCAGCATGCTACAAACGCAACAATTATTAATAATACTTACAGATTGTTGAGTACTATTGTCGAGTACAGAGTTGGAGGAGGAAGATGATCCAAATAAAATTGGTACTGAACCTTCCTTCAGCATCAACTGGCTTGCGAATCCACACTTGAACGCATTTTTGTTTGTAAAGCAGTCGTCATTAAAATAATGCGAACACCGCACAAGGTTCCGCCTATACTTGTGTAGTATAGTTGTAAATATAAACTCTAGCTACTGATTCTTCACCTGCTCATCCCTGGGCAGTGAAAAAAGGTAGCTTTTGATTCGCACTTCAGAACACAGCGTCTTGATGTCGACATGATGTTTTCAAGTTTACCCTGGCGTCTACGTGCGCAATGAGTGGGCATGGCCAATTCGAATTTTCATCTTGACGTCACAACGAAAAGGAAATTGACTCGTTAAATTGACTTTTGAGAGACTAACTTTTTTTTTTTATGGTGAACTTTCACTTTACATAAAACTTTGCAGAATGTTTTTGTTCATTTAAATCTGTTACACTACATGAAAGGTAATTTTCAAAATTCCATAATAGGTGCTCTTTAACATAAATGACTGTAACTACTCCATCCAAATGAATGGCATAATGAAAGGAAGAGGCGGATAATGGTGTGTACAGTGTGTTTTATTTGCATCTGTATCTCCTGTTTTGTAGACAAACCAGGATGAACCGTTCACCTGGGCCTCCCCTTCCTGACCGGACATCCCCTGGCAATACAGTTACTAGTGTGGTCAGTCAAATCAGTGGCATTTAATTTAACTGTCATGAAGGCATTTGATCATACATCTGATGCATTTATATCAACTTATGGCTTTATAGAAACACTTAATGTCATGAAGTACTTTAAATTTCCTTCGTTTGACCAAATGACCAATGAGAACTAAAGTAATTTTAATTTTTCCCCTCTGCTGCAGTTGTCTCCATCCTTCACTCCCACGTCCGTGATCAAAAAAATGTACGAGTCAAAAGAGAAAGGTCGAGATGATCCTGGGAGTAGACCAGGAAGCAAGGAGACTGTGAACTCCCATAACTCACAGGAGGGTATGAAATGATGTACATACACCAAAAGACCAGAGCAGGGTGTAAAATAAATAAATGAATAGGGCTACATGGTATTGAGGAGAAACACTTTGGAATATGTTTTTTCTTTGATTATATAGATTGTGATATGGAAACAGCTCAGACCCACATTATTACAAGATGAATGCCTCTAATTGGAAAGAAGTCATTCTTGAATGATTGTGGTGATTTCGTTAGGGAGTGCATCTGCATCGAAAATAAACTAAATTGCAAACTTAGGAAAACACAATAGAACAAAGATGAAAGTCTTTAGTCTTACAGTATTCAGGGACAGTTCAGTACTTTTACAGTACTCAATTGTTTGCATTCATGTGTCAGTTTCTTCGTGTTTTTGTGGGCTCAAATGTTTTAAAATCATTTGTTTTAACTGACAGGATGTGAAAATGGTAAACTTTCACTCCAAGATAGTTAATCTTTGCAATTACTCTGACAATTTAAAACCTTGGTGCGGATCAACTGCGATCCCTATACTTGACATTGTGTGGATGTGCATGTTGCCACATCAATTCTAAAATCATGTAGCCCTAGAAAAAAAGATGGCTGTCTCATTCTTTTATCTTTTTAATTACCCAAAACCATCTCCTTTCGTTTTATAGATGGGCCTCCATCCCCCAGTTCCTTTCTGGAAGATGTGGACACCAGTGGTCTTCAGACCGGTGGGGTAAAGGCATGCTCCACTCCCAATCCCGCTCAGAATCGTCACAGTAAAGACCCAGACCGACCCAGGCCTCCTTCAACAACTGGCCGCCACACTCCTCCTATGTTATCCCCAGGGCCCTCTTCTCCCTTCTCCAGACCCCAGATGTATTCAGTCCCTCTGCTTCCCCACGTCCCGTTGGTCAGACCTCCACCCCAGCTTCATCCCGGTGTGATGCAGAGGATGCTGGCTCAGGGTATCCAGCCTCAACAGCTCGGACCCACATTATTACAAGCAGGTTGGTTTGTGTGACTTCAGTAGATCTCTAAAAGGCCTAGAAAATCAATCATCTTTGCTGGACATGAGAAATTACACTTGTTCTTTGCTCATACCTTTCTTTGTTGAAAACGGTAGTTACTGAGCTTTTGTTCTTTCTCTGCATGAACAGGCATGTTCCCTCAGGCTGTAGACCTGTCTCAGCTTCAGGGTCTGCCCCCAGCCCTCTTAGGGCAGCCTTTGTATCCCCTTGGTCCTGCAGGACATCCTCTCATGGCCCCTAGAGCCGCAGGAACACACGTGCAATTAGCAGTCATGCAGCAACAGCTTCAACAACAGCAGAGACCCAGTAAGTACAGCACCAGTGACTGTTAGAATGATAAACACTACTGTTGCAATGGTGGAGATATGCTTTTGTTTTTAAATGTGTCTTTTTAATGCTCGCCAAGGTTGCATTTAATTGACGAAAATACACTAAAAAGTTTAAACTTTTAAAATGACAAGAATTTAAAGTATTTTTCAATAACGGTGGGGATGGGTGATTGGAAGTTTTGGGAAAGTCATTGTAATTTGTTTCTAAATTTATATAATGGAATGTTTAAGTGATAATATTAGTTAAACAAACTACAATACTTAAAAGAACATTTCACCCATTTCAACATTATTCTTTATTGAAAGTGGATCATATATGTAGTCTAAATGTAAGCGTCCACCGAGAGCACGGGGACCAGTAGTCCGCCCAGCTCGAGCCAGTCAGGGCTCCTTGACCGCAGCAGCCGCCTCCTGTTCCTCCATCAGCCTCAGCTGCTCTTCACTATATTGCGGCTCGTAAAGATCGCCACGAACATCGGATGTGAGAAGCAGACTTTCAAAATCCTCTTCTTCCATATCATGTTTAGTTTCTTCTGTCATTATCATACTTCCCATCTCCACAGGGCTTTTTAGCTAGCTTCCAAACAAGATGGCTGATCCACTGAACTGTAATAGGCCAGTAGGGTGAGTGGGTCCCACACCCTGGAATAATGAGGAGCTAATGTTTGTAGTCTCTACACTTTTTAATGAAATGTGACTTCCTGCTAATTACGATGCAAAATGACGATTTTACGTCATAATAAGCAGGAAGTAAAACACTTAAATCCTTATTTCTCCCATCTCAGGGGAAAATAAGGGAATAAACCATGACCATTCAAAAATATGACTGGGTTTCTAAAGATACAAAGCTTAATGCAAATGGGTGAAGTGTCCCTTTAACGTTCATTCCATCCATCCGACTACGGCATTTTTATTAGATTTCGTTTTCTAGCGTTGAGCATTTTGACCAATTGCACGTTTGTTGAGTTTATGAACATGATGACCATTCAGAGGTGCTCAGATTAGTCATCGCTGAAATGAAAAGTTCTGTTCATTGCGCTGACTTCCATCATAAACAACAAAGTGCAGATTCAGTGTAAGAGATTCATGTCGCACGTTTCTGTGATTTTAACAGGAGTTTTGTGCGTGCTTAAACTCTCACTAGACCAAGTTATGGACAGCCTCACGATCGTTCCTGGTGCTGTGATCTAATTGTTACAAAATGAGATGTATACAATTGCTGAAACCATTTTTTGGGGGTAATAGGCCAGTTCAGATCATCTCTGTATTTTAAATATCAGCCAGAAGCAAATTTTTTTTTTTTTTTTTTTTCATTTTCTTCACAGATCTCCATGTGGCTCCATCAGGAGGTTTCCAGTCACAGAGCCACGGTCCCCATCGGACAAACCATTCCCAGCGAAGAGGTGGTAGCCCTACTCTGGGCCTGGCCAAGTGGTTTGGTTCTGATGTGCTCCAACAGCCCCTCCCTTCCATGCCTTCTACTAAAGTAATCAGCGTTGATGAGCTTGAGTTTCGCCAGTGATGACATCCTGTGACCAGTCAGCAAGAGTGACGCAAAACATCCCTTCCCCACTACCCTCTAGATGGAGAGATATAAACTTTGATTTCTACCATTATGTACATATGTCAGAGCCCTCTCTATTTTTTTCTGTGCTCTGAAACCCTTGCAGTTGCAAAATTTCTTTTTTTTTGAAAAGGCCTAAAGTTGAGAGCAAAAAAGGGAAAAGACATAATTTTTATTTCCTGCTGCTTTTGTCATGAAGTAATGTAGTTTCTCATAGTTTGTTTTGAATTCAGTTTTTGCAGTTACGTAAATAATGTATAGGCCTGGATTGTACAGATTATGGGAATTGATTTATCTTTTTCCACCTTGTACATAGATTTTTTTTTTTTTCTTTTTTTTTCTGTTTCTGACTTTGTGGGGATGGTTGTCCTGCTGTTGAGGAACCAAAAAGTTGCTTTTTCTTTGTCCAGTCACAATGTCTGCACAATGTTTCCCCTCGAAGGTCGATTTGGCAGGAAATGGTGGCACTGATGATGGCTGCTTTGTTGGGAAGAGCTCCACGTCTGTAGCGATTTAATGCATCCCTGATTCAGAGAGGCATGCCCTTAACGTTTGCTGGAATATTTAAGCCAGAATGTTCTGCAAGTGGGGACACTCTTCCACCCCAAGAAGTGAATGCTAGTTGTGCCTTTGTTTCCTTTTTTTTTTTCTTTTTATTTTAAAGAAAAAACCCTCCCATCCTTCCTCTAGCCGGTCTTAGTCAGTGTATGAGAAGCACTGCTCTGAATCACATTTGTTTTAGGGTGGCAAGGGTTGGCAATTAAGTAATGTGCTATTAATTTAAGAAGCACAAATAGTTCATAAATATAAAAAAAAATTAAATAAAAAAATCATTCACATAAAAATGCATTTCTGACTCATTGTTTTCAAGGTATAAATTGTCTGGCTGGCAAAAGTATACTTTGTACTTTGCAGATGGTTGAGTAGGGGAAAAAATCCTCTGTATTTAATTGGTCTGTCTATTGCAGTGTTATGCCTCAGGTTTTTTTATATTTCAGTGTAAATGGACAGTCATGTTTGTCGAATCGTTTGCCAAATATATTTTCTACATTCCCAATGTCACGGTGAACATTGTAAAATTTAATATTTGCACATTTGGATCAAGCCACACTCCCCTTGCCATATTTCAGTGGTGTATGCCATGGACACTTGGCCAAGTGTTTTTCTTTCCTGTGCAGTATTGTTTTATTGTCCTGTTATGGGCTTTTCATTTGAGCGATGCATTAACTGAAACTAAAAGATAGACAAATTGTATAAATACAATAGCTTCAGAATAAGCTTAAATGAAGGAAGAAAAACAGAAAAAAAAAATTTTTTTAAAGAGGAAGTCCACCCAAGGAGAAAAATCTTAGCTCAGAAAGTAAATTGTGTGGTGTAACAACAGGCTTTTGTATCCGTGTATGCCTTTGTTCAAAAATGTAAAGCATTTTTAAATGTCATGTTTCCCTAAAGGATTTGTAATTTGATTTACAAACGCATAGAGCAAAGCCAGTGTTGCGGCCCACAACAATTTAATTTCTCTTGTGTCTTTATGCTTGATCTGTGCATTAACAGTTCAGGAGAACAACTCTCTAGGCTAGTCTCCGTTTAAAAGAGTTTTCCCTGTTCACTAGAATTTCGTATGTTTACAGAGTAGACTATATATTTTTCTAAGTACTTACAGTGTCCGAAAGAGAGAAAGAGGCAGTCTGCTGTCATGTATTCAGTGTCTGGCGTACATTTGGGGGAGGGGGCTCACTGGAAAACAAGGATGTGAATTCATAACGCTGCGAACCAGGAAGACGGACAACGTGCATCCAGCAAACTTCAGTTTCGGTGTGTGAATAGTATTGGCGCTTTCTCTTTGAATTAAAGTAATGGTTTAAAGCGTTAAAACCGAAAATATTTAACGCGGACGACACCCCCCTCCCTTCAAACAAAGGTCAAAGTTCACAGGAAGCTGGGGGGCTGCCATTTTTCCCCCTGCTAACATGTTAGATGCTAAAAAGGCGAGGAGTGGTGGTCGCTGCTGAGTGCTTCTGTTTATTGGGTGTTTGCCATCCGTTTGTGTTCGTCTACCTCTTCCGTCGTGTGCGTTAGGCTCGGTTGTTGAATGAAGGCGGTATGGAGAAGACAGAACAGCCGTGGAATTCCTCCTACACGTACCAGGTGAGCAAACACAGCGCCGAGATGCTACACAACCTCAACGGCCAGAGAAAAGATGGTGGCAGGTTTTGTGATGTTATCTTGCGCGTCGGAGAGGAGAGCTTCCCCGCGCACAAGGCGGTGTTGGCGGCGTGCAGCGAATATTTCGAGTCGGTGTTCAGTTGTCAGACGGAAGACGACGGCCAAGGCAAGGAGCTGGAGATGCACACGATCAGTCCCAAAGTTTTCCGAGACATCCTGGACTTCGCCTACACCTCCAAGATCGTGGTGCGCCTGGAGTGCTTCCCGGAGCTGATGACCGCGGCGAAGTTTCTGCTCATGCGATCTGTCATCGAGATCTGTCAGGAGGTCATCAAACAATCCAACGTGCAAATCCTCGTGCCTCCGCCTCGAGGAGGCGAGCACAGCCTGTTTAGGGCCGCAGAGCAGCTGTCATACCCCCTGCCTGTGGACATGTCAAACGGGAGCGTGTCCAACGGCGCCGTGTTTACCGACAACAATGACAGCGACGGTGCTGATCCGACGCAGCCGAGTAACAGCTCGCAGCCCGGAGCACAAGCGGCCGATCACTTAGCGGTTTCCCCGTTGGAGTTTCCCAGCAGCCACCTCAACAGCGACGGCTCCAAGCGAAGCAGAGGGAGACCAAAAAAAGAGCCCGCAACAGAGCAGATCTCCTACAGTAATAGCACTGCTCAAAACGAAGACGGGGGCCTTTTCCCGTGCGGAGTTTGTGGCAAGATTTTTCCCGACGACGTGCAGTTGAGAAACCACCACGAGACTCAGCACGGGACGTTCACCGGCGGTGTGAGCGGCGGAGCAGAGCTGGTCGCAGTGGACGGCCCGACGATGACCAATCATTCCCAGTCGAGGTTTCAGGAAAATGGACTGCCGGCGGACAACCGTAAGCGCGAGAGGACGAGACGACACGTCGCATGTGATTTATGTGGGAAGGTCTTCCGAGACGTCTACCACCTGAACCGGCACAAGCTGTCACATTCGGGCGAGAAACCGTATGCGTGCCCGGTGTGCGGGCTGCGCTTCAAACGCAAGGATAGGATGTCTTACCATGTGCGCTCTCACGACGGCTCGGTGGGTAAGCCGTATGTCTGTCAAAGCTGCGGGAAGGGATTCTCCAGGTGACTGCAGTCATTTATAGTCACGTTTATTATATCATGCGTTTATGTATTTGGCATCATAAATGGTTTGTGTGACGTTTTTGCAGGCCAGACCATCTGAATGGACATATTAAACAGGTGCACACCACAGAGAGACCTCACAAGTGTCAGGTAAGAAATACTATTATTTTCTTGTTCTTAATTTGTTCTGAATCTGTAAGGCCTTGATTCATACATGGGTCAAATAAGGTGAATTTCTGAATCATATTCCAGCACCTCTTTTCTACTCTTTTTCCCATGACAAATGACTGAGGACTGTGATTGTCATTCTCCAAAACAACAGAAAGCTCCATAAAACATCTTAAACTTATGAAGCCAGGTGAAAGCTTAACATTTTGTGTGAGAAACATGAAACATTGCTTTATGTGATGAACAGATTTAATTTGGTCTTTTATTCACATTAGGGAAGGAATAGTTCACTTTGAAATTAATTTTTGGTATGTTTTAGCTTACCTTAAGGGCAGCCAAGATGTAGGTGTCTTTGTTTCCACAGTAGTTTCAATTTTGAGATTTTTAGGTCAAACCGTTCTTGTCTGTCAGACACGAAACGAGCGGTTTGTGTGAGAAAACAAACAGTATTTATGTAGTTTTTACCGCTTGCAACCACAAGGTTACACTTGTGGTTACACTTGTGGTAAGCTAAAAACATACCAAAAATTTATTTCAAAGTGAACTACTATCCCTTTAAAGTTGTTCAGGGAACAGAAACACACCTCATGGGTTCTTGCCAAAGCTCAAACATGGTGCGTAACACATGAGGATGAACCTCATTGGTTTCCACATCAAGCAAGCGTGATTGAGCTTCCTTTTACCACAACTGATGTGTACATTGATAAATGTTTATTTGTGAATAAAAAACTAAATTAAATCTGTTCATCATTAAAAGCGTTTGTGTCTCTTCATAAAATTTGGACTCAATTCATATGAATTCGGTTAGTTCATATGAAAAGGGTTAGTTCATCCAAAAATGAAAATTATGTCATTAATGAGTCTGACTCACCCTCATATCATTAAATACAATGTTTAATGAAGTCGTAGTTTTTGTTATTTTTGGACCAAAATGTATTTTCAATGCTTCAAAACATTCTAACTAACCCAGAGATGTCACATGGACCACTTTGATGATATCTTTATTTCCTTTCTGGACAAGGACAGTATACTGTACACATTTTCAAAGGAGGGGCAGAAAACTCAGACTAAATCTAAAATATCTTAAACTGTGTTACTTGCATTTGTCCAACAAACATTGATTGGATTTGTTGTCATTTGCAAATTGCTGTGATCTCATTTAAGTGATGGATTATTGTTCAGTCCTTGTGCTGGTGCACATCTTCAGAGTCGAGAGGTCATTGAATGCCAGGGGGAGAGGAAGTAAAAAATATTTTTTTTATCAAAGATGACAAAAGTACATGGATTATGGATAAAACATTATAATAAACTGTAAAAATAAAAAGTCCATTTTGATTTCATGGTGACTTTAAATTTGAGTTTGTTCTTCACACAAAGCAGTAATGTAATCGAAATGCTTGTTTTGGAGCTTGACAGCCAAGGTCTCATTCGGATTCATTATGTGGACAAGAGTGGCCAAGATATTCTTAAAGTTCTGTATTAAATGCAACAAAGAAACTCAGATTTAAATTGACATGGGAGTAAGTGAGTGATGGCAGAATTTAAGCATTCAAGTAAATTCCGCCTTTAAAGGGATACTCCACTTTTTTTGCAAATAGGCTCATTTTACAACTCCCTCACAGTTAAACAGTTGGGTTTTACCGTTTTCGAATCCATTCAGCCGATTTTCTGATTATTTAGAAGAATATCAGTCACCACAAAGTTTCAGACAGAAACTCTCTGGTTACTGATATTTTTTTTGAGTGTTTGCGATCTCTCGGAAAATGCTTTTAAACCATTATCTTGAAATGACTCAGATTTGCAACGCATCCTTCGCAACACGAGATCGCCTGAGGTCGCACCTGGCATGCCATGAAGATAAGATACCATGTCAAGTGTGTGGGAAATTCCTCCGTGCTGCCTACATGACCGACCACTTGAAAAAACACAGTGAAGGACCTCATAACTACTGTGGAATATGCAACAAAGGTACTGGTCAACTATGCATTGAAAATAACTAATTTAATAAAAACTTGTGTGTACATAATACCCAGCTAATGATCCATGGTTTTATTGCCACTGACACCATCCTTAGTAAGTTAGTTTAGGCTCTCAAAAACTGATTGGCTTAATAATAAATACAGAAAACTGGGGAAAAAAGCTCAAGTTTTACATAGTAGTACTGAAAAGGTTCGTGGCTTATACTTTATATTTTTCTTCTGAAAATCTGATTAATCAGACTGAGTATTGTTCTGTTTTTTTATTTTTTATTTTATTGTTTTTATTTTTTTTTTCCTACTTGTTCTTCCGATGGTCTCAGGTTTTTCTACTGCCTCCTACTTAAAGGTGCACGTAAAAATGCACCACAGCTCGTCCATGCTCCCTTCCTCTGCAGCACATCAGTTCCCTGAACCACGCACCAACAGACCACAGATGCACAACGGCGCCCCCTACCACTCAGGACGCCAGTGCTCAGTGGAAGGCAAGCTAGCCTCTCCCCAAAGCGTCAAATTGTTGCTCGCTCACTTGCTGTCTTTTTCACTGCTGCTTATCAGATGCTGCATCTGCTTGCATAAAAACTCACCCGCAAAAGAGATTGTAGCGCTGCACATCTTTCATCTTTATTGCAACATTACTTTGCTGCGAATCAGGGATATATTGTTAAAAATTTGGCCTTTCTGATTTATATTGCACCATCTTTCAGGACTTTTCTCCCAGTGGATGAGAAAGGATGTTTGTTGCTGAAAGTATGGGGTGTGCTTTCACTTTTTATGAGGAAAGTTAAGGAAGAGTTTCTTTAGCTCAACTGAGTTTTGTAAAACGGCAACCAAATTGCGCAGATTTTTTTTTTATGATAATAGAAACATAAATTCAAGCTCAAAGTTTGTTATTCAAATGATTTAAGCTTCTTTAATGGTTTTACAGACTAGGCTTAAGCTAGTCCCAAACTAAAAAAAATGTTTGAGCTGTTTTAACTGAAAGCAACTTGCTCTGACAAATCTGAAAATAGGTCAGTGTCACTGTTTTGTCTCAAGATGCACGACAGTAATGTTTTTTTTTTAAGGCACGTCGACGAAAGCTACTTGAATGTCCTAATTGAACTAAGGCCTATTCCTGGCTTAATCTAAGCCCTGTCTATGAAACCAGGCTAATATTTGATTTACAGGCAAAATATGAAAAGAAACCTAAATAGATTTATTAGTTTCTGCAGCAGTCTTTGTTTAAATAAACTGCAGTTAGAGAGATAATAATAGTTGCAGCTCTATCAATCAGATTTGTCTGCTAGTCACTCACATTGCTGCTGACCAATTTAGCATGGCCACGTGTCCCA